GGGGGTGAGTGCCAGCGGCGCGGGGCTTGCGGGGACTCAGCCTGGGGCCCGGCTAGAGCCGGGGCACGGCCCCTCCCCGCATGTGCTGAATGGGGCCAGGCGGCCCGCTCGGTGCGGCTGGATGGGGCCCACACGCACCTGGATTGGGCTACGGCCTGGAGCCCACGGGCAGGGCAGCCGGACACTGCCCATCCGGCAGCTGGAGAAAAAGGTGGAGCACCACCAGTGTTCCTCAACCAGGGCCCCCAACCCCCGGGGGTGCCTTGAGATCCTGCCCAGGGTGCCCCCAGGTTCTGCACAAGGCTGGTGCTGGCAGGGGTGCAGCTGCAAGGGGCCCTGGGTGCTGGAAACAGGGGCATGGGGGCCGAGGGGCATCACGCAAGAAAGCCTATTTTTCCCCAGTTAAAAATAAACTAGAAGCTGTGCTAACAGGCCGGGCGCCTAGGGCTGCATTAGACAGTTCAAGAGGGAAGCAAACACCAGTGTCACTTCACTGGAATGAGTTACAGAATCTGCTGGGCTGTGGCATAGGAGCACCCTGGCCAGGAGCAACTCACAGAGCACCGAGTTGCAGAGCAAAGGCAACTTCGATGGGAGGATCATCAAAACTGTTAAAAAGAAGGGAGGGCTGTTAATAATGGGGGAATGATGAGTTTAGAAGGGATCAGGTAGATGATAATGAGCCATGCAGTCAAGTGATTCCTGTAGCAGTGGCTGACTAGAGATGCCACTGCCACTGGTGGGCCATTGATTTTAAACTTTGGGTGGAGCAGGAATCAAAGGGGGGTACAAGTGCATCAGTGCATCCACCCCGGATCCGCAACCACGATTCACAAGAAAAGCCCAGAGATTCCAAGAAGGAATCCGCAGTGCCCGGTACATTCTGCCCTCTCAGTTCCTTGCAGCAGAAAAACTGGTCCTGTGTCCCCTTTGTTGACCACAGTCATAAAAACGAATGAAAACAAAGACCTGGCATTTTTTGAGTCTATAAAGGTTGACAACCACTGGTCTGGGTGCACTGATTCTGCCTCCATGCTGGCCAATGAACTGCACGTCCTGGGGTCTCTTCTGTCCTGCCTTGTTATTTTGGGTGTAGTGTCACAAGGCAGAAGATTCTTAGATGAAGGCAGGTGAAAGAGCTTCCATGTGGAAGGTCTTTGCTGTACATAGATCCAAAGTTTCCATCAATGAGCAGAGCAGAAACACCATGTTTCTCAGTAGGGAAAGATGACTGGATGGTCTGGTCTTGGTCTCTTCTGTCCGTAATTTCTGTTATGCTTTAAGGCAGCAATTAATTCTCAACCAGGGTGTTGCAGCACCCTGGGGTTCCTTGAGATCCCTTCCAGGGTGCCACACACTGTTAGGTGTACAAACATGATTCATAAGATAAACCCAGAAGTTGTGAATAGGAATTCATAGTGTTAAAAGCATTCTGACCTATTGTGGATTTTCTCAGTTCTTTGCAGCAGAAAAATTGCTCTATTATTTTTCTGTAGTCAAAAAACAAGTGAAAATGAAAAGTGGGAATTTTTTGAGGGGTGTCCTGAGTCTAATGAGGGGTGTCTCAATCCTAAAGTTGAAAACTACTGCTCTAAGTCAAGAATACTCAACCCCCAGCCCACAGGCCAGATACAGCCCCCGGTGCTGTGTGGGGAGGACCCTGTGGGCTGTGGCCCAGTGTGCTAGATCATGTGTGCAGAGCATGGGGAGCCCAGTTCCAGCACACAGGGCTATACAGAGCAGTGTGGGGCCCTGGTGCTCAATGCCAGCATGCAGGAACAGGCAGAGGCAGTGCAGGGCCCCAGAGTCCAATCCTAGCACATAGGGCATGGTGGAGGTGTTGTGGCACCCTGGGGCCCAATCCTGGCCTGCAGGGTCTGATTTGGCCTGGTCCTTGGGACCGGCCCTGTGCCACGTTTCTGGCCCATGGGGCCAAAAGGTTAAGCACCACTGATCTGAGTGATGAAGTAAACCTATAGCTTATGAAAGCTTATGCTATCCAACTCTGATTTAGTTAGTCTGTACAGGGCAAATCTACTCTGACTACTGCTTTAACTGTATTGTCAGCAAACAAGATAAATACACAGGAAAGGCGCATCAATGGGCCCTGGTAATCTGTTTGAGAAAAGATGTGCCAGCCAGGTTTGATTTCATCAAAGGGAATGTGAAAAAAATAAATTCTGCATTTGATTTACCTTTGTTTCACAAAGACAGCACAAATATCCAACAAACCTTTACTCAGCACCACACTCAACTCAGAAAATGTATAATCTCAAAAGTAGAATTCATGTATGCATGAGCAGGACTGGTTGAAGAGAATCTGTGGCCTCCTTTGAACTTATTTGATGACTGAATAATCATTCTTCATCTCCCTCTGCCACTTACAGTTACACTGTTATTGCTTTATTTCTTATATATCCCAAACTTCCATAAATTAGGATAGGCTGACTGGGGATTAGGAGAAAGAGATACAGGGCAGGCTGCTGGTATGTGCAGCTTAGCTAAGTACGGTGAAGAGGGTTTGATGGAGGAAGGGAAAGGAAGGCAAAATGAAAGAGAAGCACTTCAGTGGGCCCTGAAGATAAACGTTGGTGGCCACAGCATGTGGGAAGGGGATAAGCAGCATGAAGACGAGCTGGGTTTAAAACTGGAGGAAAGTAGCAGTTAAGAGCATAAACTGACCAAGAGTGGCTGCCTTGGAGGAGAACGAGGTAGCTACAAGGCATTGGAGGAAGCCTTACTTTAACATATATTAGCAAGGTCTCCTTAACTTTTTAATTTCAGCAAATTAGAGTATATCAAAAGAAACTTGAGTTCCATGACATTAATTTAAACCTTGTAAACCAGTGTTCATAGCACTTGTCAAAAATATATCTTGCCTTCAATATTTGCTTTTTTTTAAAAACATATACACGGGGGTTTCAGAAAGTAACAGCAAACTGGCTGCCTGCGCTGTGGGAAACTATATAGCACCAGGGAACACCAATGACAGCATTGTCGAATGCACCCACTGTTTACAACTGTGTAAAAATTGTACATTATCATTGCACACAAGCTGGTTTTATTTCAAAATTGCCATTACTATCTGAAACACTTTTGTATAAACCAGTGGTTTTAAAAAATACATTATTTATATATACAGTAGTGATTTTGAAAAGACAAATTTGGAAGCAGTCACTGCAGTGGTGAAGTCAGCCTTTACTACCTGAGACATAGGGTACTGACCTGAAGAGATACATTTGTCCAAGATTTAATACTGGACAAGAGTTGTGAGTGGAAACAGTTTGATTTTTCTGGTTTTTACTATTGAATATGGATAAGAAGTTCTAAGGACAATTGCTTTAAAGGCAGATCTTTGAAGTTAATATTTTACATATTAAAATCAGGTGAGAATGTAAAAGACCATTTATTTTCATTAATTATTTGTATTATCTTGGAACCTCGGAGTCCCAGCCATGAAACAGGACTCCAGGCTATAGGTTCCACAACAAACATAGTACAAAAAGACAGAGAAAAGATCAAGTGTCCTGTTTGTGATGGGGTTTTTTCCCCTTAGAAAAGAAAAGCCATCTTCTTCCTTGGGAGAAAGATGGAAAGATACAGCAGAGACAGTGATCATCGGAGGTGGTTGTGTTGGTGTGAGTCTAGCCTACCATCTGGCCAAGGCTGGCATGAAAGACGTTGTTCTACTGGAGAAATCTGAACTCACCGCTGGATCTACTTGGCATGCAGTAAGAGCCATTTTGTTAATTTATAAGGTCTTGAATATGGAACCAGATTTCAGATGACTGTTCATATCTGACAATAGAGTAAAATTGTTGTTAGTCCTATCCCCAGGGCTTCTGAGAAAACTATTTATTTATTTAAATACAAAATAAGAGCTTGGCACTGGGTTCTGATCCTGTTTTTGGGATAGACTCGTAGTGTGACCTTTGAAAAGTGACTTAAACTGCCTGTATTCCAGTTTCCCTATCTGTAAAGTGGAAACAAATATTGGTTAACCCTTTTGATATTCTTGATTGGATGGTGTTATCAAAGTGAGAATAATTAACTATTAACATTTATTATAGCAGTGTGATGGTACTAAAATAGTTTGGACTTGTTTAAACTCTAATTTTCATTTCTAGAGTGAATCTGTTATCAAATATTTACTGCAAACATTCATTTAAGAGGACATGCTAATATGAGAGTTGTAAGAGCTTGTTTTTAAAAGTTGAACGCAAATATTTTTGCTGCTTCTTTCACAAAGAGCCCCCTATTCTAATATCTCCCCAATGGCAGATGTCTGAGTTCTTGCATGTCACTTTCCAGGGGAGCAGAGTAGGGGTGCAGAATGTGGGTATAGTCGAAGTGTCACTTATTTGATTTATACATTTTCACTTAGTTGATTTATACATTGGTTCTGTCCTGACACAGAGGCATCCCAAAAGAACATTTTAGCAGTCTCTACTGTAGGAATCTTAGCCTAGCACAAATGACTATATTCCAGAGAGCATCACTACCTCAAGAACTGACTCTTAGCAGAGACCAAGATAAATGGCGCACAGCCCTGTGCTTGCACAGCTTCTCATCAAGCAGCCAGTGCCTCAACATGGAACTTTGCCAAATAGAAACTCCCAGTAGCTCAACATGTTATTTAAAGACTGGACATTTACTTTTACCTTAAGAAAAATAATTTGGAAAAATATATGTAGCACTGTTACCTGCTGACACCTGCCACGTTGATGTTAAGGGAAATAATTTCTTGGTACACAGAATCATGTGCACTCCATGGCTAAATATTTTCTCTGTCAGCATCTATAGAAGACACTGGATGAGATAAGGTAAAGTCTCATACACCATTAGATTTGTAACCTTAGATTTGCAGTCTTCTCTTACGGGCTAGGGACAGACATTCAAAAAGCCTGAGCCTGAGTCGATTCAATCTTTGCAGCCTGGCTAGGCTAAACTGGTTTGTAACTGCAAAGACATCTGCTCTGAACTGAAGCAATACAGGCACATGCCTGCAGTGGCTCAGGCTAGATGCTTGGGGGAGCTAGAGCAGCCCTCCCTTCCCTTCCATGGTGCTGAGCTGAGGGAAGGATGTGGCCAGGCCCCCACAGGATGCTCTGATTAGGGAGGGGTTGTCCTTCTCTCCCTGCTCCTCACAAGTGCAGCAGGGAGTTGATAGCACAGTGTTTATCACACCTAACTCAGTGTTTATCAGGCCATCAAGAAAACAAAAGCCTCTTTCTATTAGTTCAAGCCTCTCTCTATTAGTTCAAGCTCTTCTTAAACTATTTTTGCAAGGGATGGAGGGACTTTACCAGCTACCTGTTGATTTGCTCCAAAAAGCCCTGTCCTGTTTGCCTTTGTCCTGTCTCTCACAGCACAGACTGTAGGCAGCATGTGGTATGCTAGCTAATGGTGAGCTCTGTCTGTGTAAGGCAGAGGGGAGGGAGGAATCCCTGCTTGAGCAGGGAGTGGTGAGGGTGAGGGTGGGGAGCAGGAGGAAGCCAGGCAGACTCTGCTATACATGGAGTCTCTGATGGAGCTGCAGCCAGGGAGCAGAGGGGAGGGGCCAGCCCTGGTGGGCTAGAGCAGTGGTCTCCAAACTTTTTTGATTGCGCACCCCTATCACTAAAAAATTTTTGAGCACGCACACCCAATATATGTATATTTATATAAATAGAAATAGAAATAGAAGCTCTAATATTTTCTTCCTACACACCAGTGGATCGTCTTGTGCACCCCCTGGGGTGCACGTACCCCACTTTGGAGACCACTGGGCTAGGGCAGATAGCAGAGCCCTGCCCAGAGTTGCAAAGCATCTGGGATCCCAGCTGGAGGATTCTGATTTAACATAAACCAGGAAGGGGTCTGGGACAGACTTTACATAAACCGGTTTGACCCAAATAAGCTAAGTCTGATACTACTACATTCAACCAAGTTTATCCCAAACTAGTTTCAGCCATTTTCAAAATGGTCTATGTGCACTGAACGTCTGTTCTGTTACAGTTTTAAACCAGTTTCTGATCACTTAAATCGGTTCATATGTAATGTCTGTTCCTAGCTATGTGGACTAAGAGGAAGTTATGGAAGAAGCCTATTGCTATGTACAGCAAGAGAAGGGAGCATAGAAAGCAACAGTCTGCTTTTTCTAGAGATATTTTTCTATTCTCCATAGTTTTTTATTTCTTATATCGTACTCATCAAGGTACCAAATTCCTTCCAGTAGAGCATTAAGCAGTATGACTAACATGGTCACCTATTATTTATTTCCTGTTCCCAAATTGGGAAGTAAGTACATTGCAATTTCTTGTGCTACCGCTATTTTTGAGGGGGTCTTTGAATGGAGAGTAATAAAAAGAATTCATGAACATACCTGCAACTTCTAATGAAAAGTTGGGATTCCATTTTATTTGCTTTTCATAAAAGGTTTTGGCATAGATATACACAGAGAAAGTAAATTTCATATTTTCAGTTAAGAATTGTTTAAATATAAAATCATAAAGAAATGAAATTCTTCTCAGGTAAAAACACAAGTTTTTGATAAATGTCAAGTTATCGGATTAGGAAATAGAAACAATACCATGCATTATAGATATCTGATCTCACAGCTCAAATACTGAATCAGGAATAATAAATATTCTAATATTCTCAGCATTCCATACATGAGTGAGCTATAGACTGAAATATATTGACCAAAACATCGTCAGAGCAATTTTAGTAGCAAACAAATCTGTAAAAACGTCGCCCCCCCCAAAATAACAGCACTTGTCTTTTTCATTGGCATTCCCCTGCAGCCAAGGATGATTGTCTTTCATGATTGTCTTATCTGTTGGTCTGAAGATGGCTGACAAGACTGATCCAGGTTTGACAGACTCTGCTGCAGCTTGGGCATGTGGTTCTGTGTGCGATGGGTAGCTCTGAATTCTTGATTTGGTCCATGACACTCTTTCTTTTGTTTTTCCACTTTTTCATCTATTGTTGTTGTAAGGTGTCAAAGTACTGTAATCCTTGCAGCAGACTCTTCCTTCATTTAGGGTGGTCCTGGGTGATAGTTTCCTATGAGATGATGTTGATGTTGCATTTTTTCAAATTGGCCTTGAAGATGTCCCTGAAGTACTTCCTCTGCCCTCCTCCTGAGCATATGCCTTGACTAAGCCAGGGGAATAAAATTTGCTTTGGGAGTCTGGAGTTGGACATTCAGATGATGTGGCCAGTCCAGCAAAGTTGATGATGAATGATCATCACCTTGATGCTCATAGTGTTTGCTTGCAAGTGGATGCTAATGTTGGCTAAAAGACAGTATCTTTCCATTGGATTCAAAGGATCTTCCACAGGCAGCATTTATGGTACTTTTAACAACTTGAGGTGTCTTCTGTATGTTGTCCATGTTCAGCTCTGTACAGTAAGATGGGGATTACAACTGCCTGATAAACCTCCAGCTTGGTTTTGTATCTGATGTTGTGATCTTTGAACACCCATTTCCTCAGGCATCCGAGTGCTGCACTTGCACATTTGAGGCAGTGTTAGATTTCTTCATCGATGTTAGTCTTCTGCGAGAAATGGTTTCCAGTGTATAGGAAATACTCAACGTTTTCTAGTCTCATCATGAATCTGAATTACCGGTCAGCTGAGCTGAGGATTCCTCACTAAGAACTTGTTGGTGGAGGACCATAGTCTTCTGAATAGACAACATGTGAATGATATGCATGCAAATGACATGCAAATGAGTAGGGAGGTTGTTATGAAATATTTCCCTAGCTCTAGTTGTCATCCATGTCAGATTGTGGCCTACGACTTTGTAAGGGCCACCTCTTCATGATTCGCTAGCACTTTTGCTACATTTGCATCAATGAGGTTGCTGTGGAGCTGCAAGGCAAAGCAGCCTGTCATAAGGAGAAGACAAAATGGAAGAAGTTCACAAGAAGATGACTTTCATGTTATGAAGTGCTGATCAGTTGTACTTGCAGAAGCAGAACTTGGTGATTTTCCAGCAGCCTTCATGAGCACATCCCACTGTGATACCGAGACAAAAGTGGTTGAAATTATGAATTAAATAGGTGCCTGCTCATTACTGAAGCTGAGGATCAAAGGTGTCAAAGTTGTCACTCTCAGTTCTCTCTTAGGTTAAAAACAGATGATTTGTTTAATCCAGGGCTTCTTGTCCTGGCTTTTGACTCCTATCAAAACAGGCCTGGGACAGTCACACAGTCTGAATTGCAATTGACTTGAATTAGCCTTGATTGTCCTGTGGCAAAGTGTTCATGTGGAAGAGAGTTTGTGTCTGTAGGATCTCAGGATAAAGTCTTTGTCCTGGGATAACCTCGGTGTGTCTAAATGAGATGTTTTATTGCACAGTAGACTAAGCTATTGTGCAGTAAGGCGGCACCGTCTACTTCTGCACACATTTATTACACAGTAAATTAGTCTACTTGGCAGTTAGTTACTACCCATAAATACAGGTAGTAAACTAACTATGCAGTAGATGTTGTGCAGTACTGCCTGTGTAGACTCTGGCCAACAGCAGATTTGCTCTCTGTCAGCCCCTACACTAGGTGGCCACAGGGGACAGGGAACTCCCCTAGTCCTGGCACTGCTCAGCTCCCAGTTTCTCCCAGAAGCTGGGAGCTGAGCAGCACTAGGATGGGGTAGCTCTCTGCCCTGATCTTCCCCCCATCCTGGCACTGTTCAGCTCTCAGCTCCACACAGAAGCTGGAAGCTGAGTCGAGTAGTGACAGTTCCCAGCCAGGGCTGGCTGGGAATTGTCCCATTCTAGGCACGCTCTCCTTGCAGCCTGGAACTGATTGGGACCTGCCCCAGAATGGGACAGTTTGTGGTCAGCCCCAGGCTGCATGGGGAAGCTTCGCTGGGCACAGGGTTTGTCCCCATGTACACGGGGCAGGAGAGCTCTGCAGCAGCAGCTGTCTCCCAGCCCTGTGCACATCAGGACCTCTCCCGATGTGTATGGGGCCAGGAGACAGCTCCTGCTGCAGCCAGCAGAGCTCTCCTGGCCCTGTGTACATGGGGACTGGCCCTGTGCTCCCTGCCAGTCCCCAGGCTGGCACCCAGAGGGAGCCTGGAGCTCTCTCTGCCTGCTGCAGGGGGGCAGAGCAGGGCAGGAGCAGCCCTGTACCGGGCTGCTCCCAATGGAGCAAATCTGCTCCCAAGAGGGAGCACGTGCAGACATGTTCCCAGGCAGGCTTACTGCACAGTATTTTTACTGCACAGTAAGCCTACTTTGAGTAATTAGCATATGCAGACATGCCCACTGGCAGTCTGTTTTTAGCCTTATGCAGTAACTCTAGATTCTGGATCATGTGCCAGCAGTTTCTAGGCATCTGAAATCCTGAGTGACACTCTATGCAACAGCAGTAAAAGCTTCAGGGCTGCATAGGGTGCAAATCTGTCATTATAGTATATCGCATTTACTCATTAATTGAACAGGTTTTTTTCTAAAGAAGCAGGTGTCATATTTCATCCCTTGACATGATGCTTTTTTCTGTAAAATTCAGTTTACTATGCTGTTCAATTATTACAGAATTGTTGTAAAGATGTAGTCATATCTGCAAGGTCTGTATATGCTGAAAGACATGCCTGTATTCATAGGAATGTTGATGCATTGATAGGTACAGTACAATTGGAAGTGAACTAAGAAATTCAACATATAAAAAGGCTTTTAAGAATTACTGAAGAATCCTATAGAGATGGATTTGGATAACCTTAGTTTTTATTTTATGCAAATAATCACATCTAGAATCCTAAAATAGTTATATTCCCAAATCAGACAAAGCCATATATCAGTATTGCAAAAATAAAGCAACGCCTTCTGAAAGTGATTTAATCCTAAAGCAGGTCATCAGGTTCTTGCTGCCATAAATAGCATTCTTGAAATCAGTAACATTTTATCCGCAGCCAAATGATACTCAGAAATATATGAAATTCTTTTTTGTGTTTAAAAATGTCATAGCTATTCTTTCAATATAATCGTTTCAACTAAATGCCTATTAGCCTGTATTATTGTGCTGCAAACACATGAGCCACTAGCAACTGGTTTTAGAAAGTAAAAACATGAGTGGGAAATGTTTGCAGAAATTAAAGAAGACAGTAAAAAAATCATGACATGATTCATGTCAGCTTTTAGATACTTATGGACAGAGCTGTACTGTGAAAAATGTGCGCCCGATATAGCCACGCTTTATAGAGTGTGCTTCCTCTTGGTGCCTCACCCCATAGGATGCATGCTCCTCCACCCAGCAGAGCACATACACCCTCCATTCTTTTATTCACCCCAGTAGGAATCATTCATAGGGCACAAGGAACTGCCATATTTAGGTATCTGATGCATGTTACACCTAGCATGTGACTACCTGGCTAATCACATCTTAAGTAGAGACCTGGCTACATGTTCATGCAATTAACGGTGAGATAAAACCAAGAATAAGCAAAAAAGTTATTACACAAAATACATGTACATGATACTTGAACTTTATTCAAAGTATTACAAATGTATTACACAAAATACATGAACTTTGTTCTTATCATGCCTTTAACTGAATGTGTGACTGGTGCTCCCAGCCTCCCATGTGCTCCAGAGGCTGGGAGCACTGGTCAGCTGTTTGGGGCTCCCAGCTGTGTCCCCCTGCCTGGTGACTGAAAGCTCCAATCACTGATGAGGTTTCTAGCCATCAGAGATCTGAGCTGCAGAGGCATGCTATGTGCTGCCCCGGCTGGGAGTACTGTTACCTGATTGCAGTTCTCACCCATGAAGACATACCATGTGCTCCCATGGCTGGGAGCCCCATCAGCAATTGGAGCTTTCAGCTGCAGGAGTGCATGGTGAGCTTTGGGGGCTGGAAGCTCTGATCAACTGATGGGGGCTTCCAGGCATGGGGGTGAAAATTGCCTGTGCAGGGGGACTGCCAGCAATATGGCGTGATGGGATCTGATGCTTGATCCCACATTTGTCTTCTGACCTGCAGGTGTGGCAATTGTTGGGATTGTGCATTAGATCCCATCTTGCCTTGCTCTTAATTCTGGATACCTTTAAGAAATGCTTGGATGCTTATCCTGCTGGAGTGATCTGACCCCAGCTGACTCCCTGCCCCTTGGGCAGGGGGCTGGACCCAATGATCTCATGAGGTCCCTTCCATCCCTAATGTCTATAAATCTATTAACATCTGTCCATGGCTTTAGAAGCACTATATTTGTTAGCTCCTGGACTGGAAGCAATGTACAGTAGTCATAGCACTGCCAACAGGCTTATTCATAGATTGTGAGGCTGGAAGGGACCTCGGGGGATCATCAGGTCTAGTGCCCCTGCACCAGGCAGGAAAGATAACTGGGAGTCAGGTGACCCCAGCAAGGTGGCTGTTCAGTCTCCTCTTGAAGATTTCCAGGGTAGGTGATTGCACCACCTCTGGAGGGAGTTTATTCCACAGTCTGGACACCCTAGTTGTGAAGAAGTTTTTTCCTAATGTAGAGCCTGAAATGGTCTTCCAGGAGTTTGTGGCCATTACTCCTGATTTTCCCCAAGGGTGCCCTGGTGAACAGTTGTTTACTGAGCCCTGGATGTAGTGGTAAGCCACTATCAAGTCCCCTATCAGCCTTCTCTTTTTCAGGCTGAAGAGTCCCAGGTCCCTCAGCCTTTCCTCTTATGGCTTGCCATTCAAGTCTCTGATCATACAGGTAGCCCTTCTCTGGACTCTCTCGAGTTTTAGCGTGTCCTTGTTGAAGTGTTGTACCCAGTACTGGACGCAGTACTCCAGCTGCAGTCTCACCAATACTGAGTAGAGTGATTAGCTCTGCTAAGAGAGAAAACTGGCCTGTGTGCAGCACTGTAAAAACATGGTTACACTGCTTCCCGTTCAGGAGCTAGCATGGCTGTTGGCATGATTGCACCCCTCATACCCTGTGTACTCCATTAGCATCATCTGCAATACAGCCATGTTTAGGAATCCAAGCCTTGGATGGGATTTGGACAGGGATGATCCTGCCTGAGGCAGGGGGTTGGACTAGATGACCTCTGGTGGTCCCTTCCAGCCCTACTTCTCTATGACTTCATGACTCTTAGTAATAAAATAGCTTACAGCAACCACAACTGCATTATATAATTCATGTGGATGATTCTAATAGTATAGATGTTTCCAACAAGTCTTTTCAGAGTTATCTCAAAGAGACTGTGCTGTTGTATAAGCTTTAATACTGAAAAGATAGAATCCTTGCAGGTGAAAGTTGGGAAAATACCTTTGAAGTCACTGACTCCTCCCATCAATTGTGCATCCTGACATGCCACACAGTAGGTATGGCATGCCTAAGTTCATGATCCCAGGCTCTCCCTGGCACCAGCAAGTTAGCAAGCAGGTGCCTGGCATGCCTACAGCTGGGACACCAGTTTTCTGATCAGCACTCCCAGCTGCAGGAGTGCAGCAGCCACATGTTCAATTTACAGCACAATAAGAAACAGCTACAGTTATTCCATATATTCCCTGTTTTATTACTATTAATTGCATGAACATGTGGCTGGGTTACTCCTTATGACTTGATTAAGTAACTGGTTAATCATGTCCTAAGTGTAAAGTCTGCTAGGGGCTGCAGATACAGTAGTAACTCAAGTAACTTATGTTATTGATTTTACATTTGTGTGTACTCAAAAGGAGGCCAAATTATTTCCAGAGGACCTAGATGAATAATTATACCATTTTAAACTGTGAGACAGGGAGGTCTACTGCAGAGTACAGCAGATCTGCTATAACTGTTTTGACTGTGTCCTTCTATACTGAAGTAAGGGGAAGTTTAATGGAACCTCCCCTTAATGAAAGAGAGTTAATTACTATGGTTTGGCTTCACTTACTTTGGGATAGTAGTAGACAGACAAAAAAGTTACAGAAAATCAGCTGACATGCACTTAAGAACAGCAGGTTTTCCCCTGACGTATTGCTCTGAATCACCTCTGAAATCCCAAATTGTTTAACAGCAGCATTTAAGAAAGAAATCAAAGAATATTTTCCCATGTAAACTGCCAAGATGTATTACTTATTAACGTTTGGCCAGGATATGTTGGTGAATATCTCCATTCTTGTAAAGAGTACCTGAGATCTTGAGACATCAGATGGTCGGGTCCTTAGTATTTTGTCTTCCAAAATATTTAGATAGAAAAATGAATGATCTAAAAAAATGAAACTGTAGTAGAGAACAGCTGTAATGAGGATACTGTGATTTGACAAAACTAATGAGAACAGACAGGTGGAAAAACATCTGTCCACGGAAAGGGAATGTATGTAATCCAGGAAAGGGTTGTTTTTTTTTTAAAGTTGGCTATAGCTATATGTTGCTTTTCTTTACATTGGAAGGCCAGTTCTGTTTCAAATGACTGATGGAAAAAAAAGAGAGAAAAGACTACATTTCTAAAAATGCCAAATTGTGTTATTGCTTTTGTTTATTTTTCAAGGCTGGTTTAACAACTTATTTTCATCCTGGAATAAATCTAAAGAAAATCCATCACTACAGTATCAAACTCTATGAAACACTGGAAGAAGAGACTGAACAGGTAAACTCCTTAATATTCACACAGCTACATTGAAAATATTTTTACAGATCAATATTAATTGTGCTAAGAACCATACGGAAACATTTGGAATGAAAAAGCTGTATATGTGTATCTACATGCATGCATGCCTCTATGGGTGTAACAGAGGTTCTCATATATTAAGGGGTTACTTTATCCAAAGTATTTCTGTTCTTTTTATATCTATGGTACATTCATATTCTAGTGTTTAATCCCAAAGAATTTAGCTCTCCCCACCTCATTCTTACTACTGCTTGTTTTTTCAAAATAAAACATTTAAAAAATTAAGCAATCAGAGTCTCTGCAGCATCAGCTTTCTATAAGTAAAAATAGCATTCAGGATCCGGATCATGTAAGCTGACAAGTACCCATTCCTGGCTTTTATATATCTGCTTGAGAATTCGGGTGATTTAACGTGGTCCATGCTTGAAAATACATTTGCACTCTTTCCTATCCATTTCAGAGGAGCCCTTCTGTTTGGTGACTAATATAAAATCATTTATTCTAATCAGCACTATTCAGCTTTTGGCCATGCAGTTTGAACTCAATAATGATCCTCACTTGGTTAATCTTCAAATTGTTAATTTGCACATGATAGCCTGTTGCCTCACCTTACTTTCCAGCAAGATTAATACTGTAGCCAAATGCTCTAGGAAAACATCCATTAGAAAACACAGAGCAGCATGTTCACTCATAAACTATGAGGAATTCACTTACAAATCACTGAAACTATTCAACAAAATATGTGAGCAAAGAATATATTGTGATTCAGTGCCATTCCATTTTATTGTGTTTGGTTGATCACTATTTTTGTGAAAAGTAGTGAAGCATAGCTCTCCTTATTTGCATGGACTTATGATGCCTCCATGATCCATCTAAACTGAGGATTCTGCACACCTGCACTGCACCTCTCTCAAACAGAAAAGAGGGTCATTTTCTTTTACAGAAGTTTTTGCAGTATGAAGGTTCTACTGGTAAAGTGATTGGAGCTATGTGGAGGAGCCGAGGAATGGGCAGGTTAGGAGTAAGGCTGAAGGGACATGTGTTGGTTCTCTACTAGTGCCCTAGAGATTCTTTCTGAAATTTAATATTCCTCCATGTTGCAATGAGTTTCTACAGCTTCTTCTTTTCCTTAAAGGAAAAAATTTCTTTGAGAGTCACCAGTTAAGGAACCTTTGCTAGTGCAGCTCCAGTGTAGCATTACTGTAAGCAAATATAAAGGACTATCAGGGCTACTCACTTCAGGGACACAGAGTCTCCTTGTAGATTTGTGTAATTTCCCACTGATCTGTCAACCTGTTCTGCAATGGAGTTAGTTCTGTTCCTTAACAGAATGACTAGACAAAGAAATCTTTATGCAGAGGGATGGAGTTATTGGGCCATAGTCATTAATGTGAGGATGCACTGTCCAGCTGGATGCAATTTATATATGTCTAAAAATCCTGTATTTTGCCACTAAAGATGGGTGGTCTGTTAGTTATATGAGGTTTGTTTTGCAATATATTAAATGTTCACATTGCTGACATTCAGAGGTGGATTTTATATATAAAATATGTCTGAACTACTTTTGAAACCATATAAATGTGGATTCTATTTACAAACTCAGAAGATTAATCAAATGTAGCGAATACAATTAATGAACACTGAAAAATTGAGAAGATGTGCTTTAAACAAGTTAGTGTGCATTTCAATATTGTGTTTGCTTGGTTTAGGTAAGATTTCATTTGTTAGCAAGTTGTTCTTCTCTACCTCAGAAGTCTTCAGCTGGGGCCTGAAACTCTGAAAGCAGTTAGAGCTTGATTCTGTGGTGAGAAAAGGTTAAGGGCAAAACTCCTGTCAGCTTCACTGGTGCAGAATTAGACCTTTAGGGAAAGATGAACCATAGTCCTAATTGTAAACTACTTGCTTTTGTTGTCAATGTTTTAGGCTGTGGGCTTTCATAATCCAGGCAGCATCAGAATTGCTTCAACTCCTACTAGAGTTGATGAGTTCAAATATCAAATGACTCGTGCTGGCTGGCATGCAACAGAACAGTATATTATTGGGCCCGAGAAAGTACAAGAGCTGTGTCCTTTACTGAACATGGAAAAGGTAAAGAATCTTATTCTATGGAAACATCTTTTCTTGAGATTAAATATTGGTGAAGAGTTCCTATTCTGGCAGTGTAATAAACATCAGGCTTCAGATATCTATAAAAAGAGCTGGAGACAGATCCCTAGAGTTTTTGTGCAGAGCTTTAGCCAGTTCTGCCAGAAAAATATAATCCTTTTCCTGATGGAGCTATACATGGGGAACTTTGCGAGGAGGTCCTTCCATTGGCTCTTTCCCACATGTTTTCCACAAATGTGGAGGTAATCACAGCCATTATTTTAAGTTTTAAGAAATAGTTAATTTTTTGCAACTGTCGTAGATTTATTAGAATAAGAAATAATATCCACGTTAATGTATGGCAATTAAGGAAATCTGATTATTATTCCTAATGGTTAATTGTTTGAAACATTTATAACACTTTCAGCATACATTTAGCATAGTCTTTTCATTCAGTGGTTTTTAACATTTTTAGCAATGGCATCTTATCTCTTTGATCACAGACACATGCTGGTACTGGAGAATCTCCATTCCATAGCATAGTTACAGAATTGACCAGTTGTAGCTTTGATGATATTAGGCAGTCTTTACAGATGACACACAACAGTTGTTCACTTTAATCTTAAATAAGGTGAAAGCTGCAAATTTAATTTGAATTCATTTTGTGTGACCCATAATAGGTTTTAGCTGGCCTGTATAACCCTGGAGATGGTCATATTGATCCCTATTCTCTCACTATGGCCTTGGCTGCAGGAGCTAGGAAATATGGTGCCTTGTTAAATTACCCGGTTGAAGTGACTAATCTAAACTCTAGATCAGATGGGACATGGGAAGTTGAAACTCCATTGGGAGTAATTCGAGCAAACAGAATAGTGAACACAGCAGGTAAGATTTAAATAATACTTTGATGTCTCTTGAAGGTTAAAAAATAATGTGCATAATCAGATATTTCACACCAAGCACTAAGACCATGGACAAACTTGCTTCTTAATGGTGTTGGAAGGGAATGGGGAACTGCCACTTTGGAGTGCTTTTCAGCTGCTACAATGTAACTATTATATCGCTGTGGTTCTGTTGTTACACAAATTGCCAAGTGCTCAAATCATGAGTGAGACTTTATAAAGGTGGATAAGGCAAGGTGTTACGTTTATTGATTACATGAGTTAGACATAGAGGTTCCAGCACACCATTCATACAAAAACACACAACTCATCATACACATCATTACACATAGGCATACACATACACAAAACAACCATTTCATCCACACATACACCAGATATAGTTACTAGCAATAGTTGCTCAATATCAGCTCAGGGTGGCCAACCCAGGCTTATTGAGTAGATGATGATGATTTGAAGATAGCAGATTTGAAGATAACAGCTGAAGCAAGGTGAACAGATGCATCTGTGCCCCGATGAAACAGCAGTAGAGAAAGAGACTCACTCAACCTGGCATTTTCAAAGTGTTCTTTTATAGGGATTGGCATCCTTTGTTTCAGTACTTAGGGGTTTTTCCATATCCAGCTTCTGTTTTTGCAGTTGTTCTTCTTTTGTTTTCAGCTTATTTTAGCGTTGGAGTGCTCTTCTTGCCTATCTGGCAGAAATTCTTCTTCTGTTATCTCCTTTGTGCCTTCGAACTTCAAAGGGATTCTTCAGCTGTTTGTTAGTTAGTTACTGGCTGGTAACTTACATTTGGCGCCTTGTTGCTTACATAAACAGTTAAATCTTCTCCCATCTCCATGCCATTCTCTCCCCATTCACCCTTTTATACACACTCATATATAAAGGCTATGCAGAGTTCATTCACTTATGTCAAGCAGAAGGATACAAAATGGAATTTTCAAGTTGCTTACAGGACAAGACTAACATGGTTATGTTTTACTATTATTACACTCTCTGTTAACATTAGCTACATTAGTTCAGTTCATGCCACACTGTAGCATAGAAAGTTAGCTAAATTGCCATAACTTTAAACCTGAATGAAACAGGCTTGCCATGGTTTTGCTACACTTGTTTCACTACAGAAACATGCAGATATATCCATTGCATCATAACATATTGGCATAATTTGATATCAAAACAGTTGTTATAGTTGTCTGTATCTTAATGGTCAATTGTTTATGTTACAGGAAAAGTGAAATATGTCTTTGGTATCTGTCTTGTTCCTGGTAAATCATAAAGCTCGATTTAGCACTAGGCAATCCTGATTTTTTATTTTTTATTTTTCCTTTTTTTTTTTAATGGGCTATCGATGAGCTGATTTCTTCACAACAGTACAGTGCAGAGGTGGGCAAAATGGTGGATCTGGCTGATGGCTGGACTCCATTTCCCAGCAGCCCTTGCCCTCATCACTGTGGCTGGTTTCCATGGAGACCTCAGAAGTGGTGGTGCTCTAACATACTGGCCCCAGCAGGCCTGGCAGGGCACATGGCTGGGCAGGGAGCTGCTCTGGGACCAGACCTGGGATCTTGCGGTGGTGACAGCATCGTCCAGAGCTGGGGCAGAGCTGCCATCCGCTGCCTCCATGCCCCTACCCAGGGCGTGCGGGCATCAGATCACAGCTCTGCCCTGGCTCCAGATTACACTGTCACCACCACAAAATCCCAGCCCTGAAGCAGTTCCCTGCCCAGCTACATGCCCTGCCAGCGCTGCATGGAAACCCTGGCCCCACACTGTTATGGCACTGCCACTCCTGGGTTCTCCATGGAAATATCGGATGCAGCGATGCAGGCAGGGGCAGCTAGGAAATTGAGTCCACCACGGGCCTGATTCAGCCTATGGGCCAGGCTTTTCCCACCCCTGGTATAAAGAAAATTGTGTGCTCTGTGGGTCATCCTTCATTAAACAATATGCTCTCTCACCTTTTCCATCCCTCTCCTTTGGTTTGTTCTATAAAATAACAGAAATAAGCTTTTCACATTAGCCTTCATAAAGAAAGGGGACCCAGTGTGGGCTGGGGTGTATGGAAGGACAGAGTGGTAATGTTATAAAAAGAACAAAAACAGGACCACTTATTCTTTAGAGAAACAAGACCACAGCCCATCTATGATCAGGACCTCTTTGCAAGTTTACCCACAGAATTAAGGAACAGTTACAATTTCCTTAATGATTGCCCCCCCCTTTTTTTACACCAAATCAAGATACAATTACACTTTCCAGTGATCCTCCATTCCCTCTTAGATAAGGTATTACTACCATGCAAGTCAAATAAAGGGTCAAGAGACAGGTCTATATCCCAAACTTTTATTGTTTATACCCTAAAGCACAAGCACTTATCTCAATATCTGTCTAGCTACCTGCAACAGCACAATATAGATTCTTATTTGTACCAGCTGGAGGGATGCAGGAAGGAACAGGAAAGTGGCATGCAGACAGGCAGCAGTTGTCTTGAATTTGCTGAGGTTTCCCAAAGTCAGCCCCCTCCCACTATTTACACCCATTATTTATATCTGGCATTCTACTATAACAAAATCCTTAGTCTGTCCATCTGTCCATAACACTTTTTGAGCACTCTGATTGGTTGTCTCGACATCCAATCACAATGCTGACTGAAACAACCAATCAGAGTGCTCTGCACAGACAGACACACATGGTGGAACAGCACCATGACAGCAGGGACTGAGGGGATGGAGCGGGGGATTGAGGCCAGGAGTGCTGGTTGTCCCCCCTGCCCCCCGGGCAGAAGGGGGGCAAGCAGCAGTAGGGCATAGCCCCCCCACTCCCAGAGCTGCAGCGTCAGTGCCCGCCCCTGTGCCACCCCCTCTGCACTGGCTGGGCAAGTGACAGTAGTTCTCACGCCATCTGGCAAGCGGCAGCAGGGCAGAGTCCCAGCTCCCAGCGCTGATGTGGGCACAGCAGAGCTGGAACGGGGCCCACATCAGCCACACCCACATCTTGCCCACCCCCCCTCTGGGCAAGTGGCGGCAGGATAGAGCCCCCACTCCGAGCATTGCCGCACCCACATCTGCGACTGAATCTCCGAAGCGGCACCAAATCTTTCGGATCTGATTTGGCCAGACCAATCAGGACAGTGATTCGAATCTCCAGATTGAATCACTGTCCTCTGAATTGGCCAAATCCAAAGCCGAAGTGAATACTTGCCGCTTCTCACAGGCCTACTAGTCACCCACTTGGCTTAACAATATCCTTGCACTTAATAACTTATAATTATTTTTCCTCCATTTGTGTAACTTTTAAACTTAATTTTATTTAGTAAGTCAGATTTCTGTAATACATCTATAGAAAAGTCCTTTTATTAATTGTTGGACAGATAGCACTTTCTGTTACCAAGGTTGCCTGACATTTCCAATTGTTAGATTCTGTTTTTATTTGCTTAACAGTTTGCCAGACATTTACCATTTGTTTTGAATTGTTTGTGCCAGGAGACTGGGAGCCAGAGAGCGGGGAAGCTGGGACTGTTTGGGAAAGGAATCTTGCGTGGTAGTCAGACTGGGATTGGAGGTCTGTTTTTTGGTAGATAGTATTGCTGTTGGGCAGAGAGAGAGAAGGAGGCATAGGTACTTGCTGAAAGAGGTGTAAAGACTAGGAACCAACGTGGGGAAAAGAGGAAACTAAGGAGGCAAAATGGGCTGAAGAGTCTAGTGCTGACTCCCCTCCAGATTTTGGAGTGGAACCCAAATGCCTGAATTCTGTTCATTTGCTGTCAGCAAACATCTGTGAAATCTTCTGGCAAAATGTGGCTCCCCCTCTAGTGCTGCTCCACACAGGGGAGGGCTACATGCTTTTGCAATCAGTTGCTCCCTTAGCTTAAGAGGCAGGTTTCTGCCTGATTAACTAGAGCTTTCAATCTTACCGGTGACTTTAATGCATCTCAATATGATGCCACATTCACGTGTTTTGTGCATGCTGAGGGAGGGGTTGGTTTGGGTTTAAAAAAACAGGTTTTTTTGTAATGTGGAATTCTCTATGTTGAAAGAACATTATTAAGGTTGAAAAATCAAGCACTCAGAAGTTAGAAAATCCCAGAATTAGAGTGGCCTTAGGAACCTTAATTTAATTCCCTTGCACATAGTTATTCTGATAGAGTGATTTTTTGTGGTTGATTAACATTTATTGGACCAACTGCACGGTTGGGATAGACTTAAACAAGCTTTTGAGTACTACAGTACCCTTCCTCAGGTCTTTGGGAAAGAAGTAGATATAGTAGAGCTAAATAGCAAATAGAAAAAGGGCTTGTGTAAAACTCCATGATGAAGGATCAGACATGTAGTAACTTAACGTTAAATGTATCCAGTGTGATTAGTATCTTTTTGTTTCTGTAGACAAGGCCTATCCAACTGGCAGCCTATGAACCAAATTCAGACTGTGAGGGGTTAACCTGTGGCCAATGGGCTCCTGCCCAGCCAACAAATGCCCACATTGTTCATGCTGCTGAAGCAGCTGGGGGGGGGGGGGAACGGGGGAAGTAGCACAGTGGGAGGGGCCCAGTCAGCTCACTACTTGCAGGTGATGGGGGCAGCTGGTACTGCTTGCACAACTGGACAGCACTGGCAGGGGTCTTATGTGAGAGGCTTGCACTGCTCAAATGGTGGGTCGGGGGAGAGTTGGGGTCTCACTTGCACAGCAGTAATGGGGGTGCTCATGTGGCAGTTTTGGCGTGGGGTGCGCTTACACTGCTCATGGGGCAGTGGTGGTAGGGAGGGGTTGCACTGCTGTGCAGCAGGGGGCCTACATGAGGCAGGGGTCCTAGTAGCCCGCACTGCGTGTGGCCCCCAATGTTGCATGGTCTGTGCAGTGAGCAGGCCAGGGCTTGGTGTGGTAGGTGGCTCCCAGCTGCTATGAAGTTGGGCAGACCTGAGACAGATGGGTTTCATTATATACAGCTTCCTTCTGACTGCTTTCCAAAGCTTATCATTATTTGTGAAACCAAAATGTGCTCTTGTGAAATTTTCTTAGGCTTTTTCCACTTGCTTTGATAACTTATTAAACAAAAGACATGCCTGGCTAACTCTAACGTGTAGCTAAATATTCAGCCAAAATTAACATTTAAAGCTTCTATTGCTCAACATTCTGAGTCAGGCATGAAACCAGTATTTTGACCAGTATATGCTACTAACATTTTTCAGCCAACCTTCATTCCTTCTGTAGTCCCACCTCCCACTTCTTTAAATCATTACTGTTTTCATGCCAGCCATTGCTTGTCTCCTGTCAGTAACTGAGAGCACAGAGAGGTTTGCTAGCGGGCTGTCTGTGTTCCCCCTCTCCCTCCCCCTCTCTTTTTGCAAAGTCAACATCTGCTGTGGGACTGGAATGAACAAGTTTAAACCAACTTGTAGCTGTTGTAACTGCTATTTCAAACAAAGCAGTCCCATAATAATCACTCCATGACATAAGCTAACTTGTCTTGAGGAGGCTAGTAGTTTATTTTTAATAGTGTGAAGGAGGTTAGTGGTGTATTTATAACTAAGTCATTAATAAAATGGTGAATTTTGTTACTTTTGCACATTGCATTCATATAAATTCACATACAATTGACATCACAGCAATTTGTCCATTTTTTGCAGCATTTTTGTAGGAATTTAGCAATGAAAAATAATATTTTTAACTGAGTTTTATGTTTTACGAGTTGTAGCCACACTACAATACTTTGTGGATATGCTAAACAAAACCAACACTAAATTTCACTCTCAGATAATTTTGATTTCTACGGTGTAGAAACGTTCTAAAGCCATAAATTATTCCTATATTTATCTTTACCATGGGTTTGGGACTTGACGTCTGCTTCCAATTAGGTCTTGTTTCAGAGAACTAACTCTTTCTTTTAGCATTTTTGTTAGTAATTTTTTTTGCGTATGGTGAAAATTTTTTAAGTGGAGAAGGTACACTATATTTCATTTAGTAAATCCCAGCTGTTTTTCCCCTACTCAAGTAAAATTAGCATAACTTAGCATAAATTTGTCTTAATTTTTAACAAAATTACAGTACTTAAGGGGCTCATCTACACATCACACTATGTCACTGTTTCGATGCACTAGGGTGAAATAGTGACCACGTGGCTCTATGTGTGACTGGCAGCTACTTCGCCATAGCGGTGCACTCCCCCGTTTATAGCACGCCACTATGGCGAAGTAGTGGCTAAAAATAATCGTGCCCATGCATATGGTGCAGTATGGGCAGCTACTGTGCTGTGCTTTATTAATTCCAAAAGAAGTATTAAAGCATGGCGCAGTAACAACATTGCTGTAGGGCAACTTGTAGACATGCCCAAGATGTGTCAGTTACAATCTTAAAAGAGGTGTCAAAATAACAGTACATTAATGCCTCTTTCTTTTATTGACTCTACAACAGTCATAGTCAAAATCTGGTACAAAATCACATTTGGAGCGCTGCACTATCTAAATATTAGGCATGTGTGAAGTGGCTAGTATTCGCTTTGGATTCGGCCAATCCAGGGGACAGTGATTCGATTCGGTGATTCAAATCACTGTCCTGAATCGGAAAAAAAATAAAAAAAATATCCCCACTCACCAGCTGCTGCCAGGCAGGGACGATCCCCGCTGCCCCACGTTGCGTGGGGGGCTCTTCAAGGAGACCCCAGAAGCCCCAAGGCCACTGCAGAAGCCAGTGAGTGGGGTTTTGTTTGTTTTTTTTAAAGGGCAGGGAGATGGGGTGGGCAGGGCAGTCCTGCTGGGAAAGCGGGTGGAATTCGCTTGTGACAGAGCCCCCCATGCAGCATGGGACACTGAGGGGCAGCAGGGATCCTTGGCAGGAGCCAGTGAGTGAGGGCTTTTTTAAAAGAGCCGGGAGCTGGGGCTGGGCAGGGCAGCCATGAGTGGGGGCTGGGACAGTGGGTGGGGGTTGGGCGGCACTCAGCAGGGCTGGGGGAGCAGGCAGGGGATGGGGTCTGGCAGGGGTCCCCCCATGGTCCTTTTTCCCTCCCCCCTCCACCTTCCCTTCCTTACCAGCATGGAGTCTGGGTCCAGCTGCATGCTGCAGCCAGCAGGAACTGCCCGAATTGCCAAAGCTCTCTGAATATTTTCCGAATCAATTTGGAGAGCTTCGAATCTATTCGGACCTTTTAATTGGTCCCCTGATTGGTCCACCAAATTGTGCCAAATCTCCTCTGAATTGAATCAGCACCCAAAGCTTTGCATGTCCCTACTAAGTATTGTAATTTAAAAAAAAACTATTTACTGCATGTTATAAATGGAACATGGTTTTGGCTGGTAAGCCTACAATTACATGTACTGGCTTTGTTTATTTTGCAAATTAGTGCAACAGATATAGCCACTGCATTTGCTGAGCTTTTTGGATTGTAGACACATTTTCAAATATAAAAAGATTCCTTAAGGAATGTGATGGTTTTTGCCCCAAGGCATGCGCCTGCATGCGGGTTTAGCACAGGGAAAAATGCTCTAGGTGGGGGAGAGGAGGCTAGGGCCAGCACCTGTGGTAGTACTCAGAGCTAGGAGGCACACTATCCCAGGGGTAGAGGTTTGCCCACTAAAAGGGACATCGCGTAGTCTTCATTGTTATTGTTATGTTATAGCCCAAGGGCTTATGTTTATGTTGCTGTTTGTACCGGAGGTTTGGGATGGGACTGTGAGGGGTGGTTAAGGAGGTCCCATTAGCACCCAGGAGGGGCATGCAATCCCCTTGAGCCCTGCTAGAGGCAGGATCAGGGCTCAGGCAGCTGGAGAGCCTGCAGGAGGCACAGAAGGCAAGGCACCAAGCAGACAGGGGCCAAGGGCCTGGCATGAGAGGGGTGCAACTAGACAGGGGCAGAGGCCTGGTGCCAGAGGGGTGCAGCTACGCAAGGGACTGGCACCAGAGGGGCACAGCCACATAGGGCCAGGGGCCCGACACCAAAGAGATGCAGCCACATAGGGGCCTGGAGCCCAGCAGGCAAGAACAGATTGAGCCAGTTCCTCAAAGCTGGGTCTGATGTGGTGGGCCTAGGCTATAAGGCCTAGCTAGATTAAAGGGGCAGAAGCCAAGGAAGCTGAGGCCCTGAGAGAGGGAATGACATCCATGTAACACCCATGAGACATGGGGCATGGTATAAGGGAATTAACCCATAAGGCTCGAGGTGCCCTGTTCAGCAGAGTACTGGAGTGCGGTCCAGCGAAGGACCCAAGGACCAGTGAGTTCTTGTGGGGTTCAGCGGACTGGGGCCATGTGAAAGCCTGCGGGCAGCCTCCCGACTTACTATTTCACCATCAAGATGTGACAGGAAAGACAAGAGGGTGCCCTCGGGGCTGAGTTGGCATGGTCTCGGAGCCACCAGAGGCATTATGGTCACCCCTGGGGAGCCCGACCTGTAACAGCTAGAAATGGAAGGTGGTGCCCTTCCATGGTATGGTAAGTGGCTGGGGTATGCTGCACCTTGGAGATTTCCAAGCATGTGACATCTTTTAGAAGACCATTACTAGATGGCATAGATTAGGCGAGATATGAGTCATCTTTAGCTTGCAAGGGTGTTAAAGTAGTCTCCATTTGGCTCCAGGGTCAGAGGAGATGCAATCCAGCTTTATAATCAAGGCCTGTTAGAAATATTGAAATATCCAATAGCTAGACTACATAGCCCATCAGGATGAAGTTTTTAATATAAAGTAGATTACTAAATTTAAAAAATCTAATTATTCAGGTCACTTGGATGCACAGGGAAAAGCGAAATCTAGGCCTCAATTCAGCAAGACACTTAGGCATGTGGCTGATTTTTTTTTTCTCCTTCTGATTGGTGTCTTAGGATATTTCTATATCAGGGCAGTTACATGTTCTGGCTGGAATACTGCTGGGCATACCTACCCTACTGCTCCTTCTTCCACACACCAAATGCAGACGTACACAATGGAGACTGCTCTGGGTTTGCTCCAAGCAATAGCTTGAAAACATGCCAGAAACTGACATCTCAGTTGCAGCTGAAAGAAAATGTCCTAGAGCAGTCTCACATTGCCGGGTTTGGAGCACATGAGTGGAAACAAATGGGAGAGGTGTTCAGGAATATCCCAGCCAGGATATATTGCTACCATAGCATGAACCTTCAGTGTCCAAGCTGGCCATAAGTGTTCCCTCACCCTCCCTAATGATAGCTGGAATCATATCTAATAGAGCCTTATTTAGGGGAGCAGACCATGTGGTCCATATAAACATTAATTAAATGTAATTCAATTTCTCTATGACATTTTTTGAATAATCCAAATCTCAGTAATCCCTGTTCTTTAAATTTTTACCTCTGTTATGGATATGTCTATACTAGCAGGGTATATGGGTTTAAAATTGGGACTAACAGGAATAAATATAGGAGGAATTAGGAATTTAGGAATAATAGGAGAAATTTTTTCCTGAAGCTCAAAAAACCTTATGACAAATATGGAAAGACAAAGTTCCTTTATAGGTTACCATAAAGCACGGCAGTTTCTGAAACACAAATTGCTATTAATTTCTGTTCACTGAAACAAGTGTTTAAATATCAGAATTTTTCTTTATTGTGTTCCTTAGGCTTCTGGGCTCGGGAAATAGGCAAAATGATTGGACTTCAGCATCCTCTGATACCAGTTCATCACCAGTATGTTGTGACATCAACTATCCCTGAAGTGAAAGCTCTGAAAAGGGAACTGCCTGTGATTCGTGACTTAGAAGGTTCATATTACCTAAGGCAGGAAAGGGATGGGCTTTTATTTGGACCATATGAAAGCCAGGAGAAAATGAAAATGCAGGAATCATGGGTAACAAATGGAGTTCCACCAGGTAATTAAAAAAGTACATGCGTCTTCTAACCTTGATAAACTACAAAAATTGTTAAATAAATATTAAACACAATAGCGTATTTCCTTTTATCACTCTACCCTGTGTGATGGGATGTGGAAGCTACTGAAATTTTAGTCACAACACATTAAATTTCTATAGATATTTTTACACAGTATGGTTACAGCTTCTCTGTAACAAGGTGAACAATAAGAAATAAGGTGCATGAAATTGATCTGTCCCAATCTAATCCAGTCTCACTGTAGACAGACACTGAGCTATTGGGATTAGAATCCAGTCACTAAGTGTGTCTATACATGTGTTCTGTGTGGTGGAAAGCATTTTAATTAGAGCAGCTCCCAGACAGACGCTTTAATTAAAATGCCACAGCATCATGTGTATTAAGTCCTCGCGCATTTAAAAATTGCCGCAGGATGCTTTATCTAAAGCGTCTTCAATGGGGTTTAGATAAAGCACCCCAGCAGCCATTTAAAAAAGCGCAGGGGCTTAATATACATCATGCTGTAACGATGCTGTAGTGTTCTCATTAGAACACCAAGGATCTTGTGTCTAGGCAGCCCAGATCCCACATTCTTGTAAGCTACCTCAGTCTCTCCTGTGCCTTCACAGGTACCCCATAATTAGACATGTTTCTTTCAGAATCTACCTGGCCATGGGAATTCTGGTGTCATAGCTATATCTTACAGGAATAATGTGTCATTTAAACCAGGACTCCTGGATTAGCAAAGGAATGTATTCATTTTACCCGTGAAAACCTTGAGCATTAAACCAAACTCCTGAAAACAGTTTTCCCTTACCATTTTTGAATCCTAAGTTTGATGCAGGGTTTTAGACAGGAGTCTCTTCTTACCTTCTTGGTCTGACTTTCTTTCTTCTGACAGCAAAGTGGCTCCCATAACAGAAAGCCTTTCTCTCCTAAAACACATTCTAGCACCTATAATACCCATACAGTTTGACTGGGGAATTTCTAGGCTCTAGCCCTTCATTGTTTTCTGGGTAGAAAGGCATCAAAAGTCAATGACCCTATGAGTAGAAAACCAATTGTTTTCCTATAATACAACAATTCCATGTTGAACTGCTTTATCATAGCTTCCCAGAGGCAGCACTCCACTAGGAGTTACAACCCTGTTACAAACAGGTGCTCAAAGATGCTCAACTCACACTGAAATTTGCATTCAAAATGGAGGTTGAAATTACAATCTACCATTCGCGAAACAAATTGGAATTTGTCAGCTGACAGAGATATGTCTCCCAAACTATCACAATAACCATAAAGACAAAGTAACCAGCAAAAGAGGAGCTTCCCATGCCATTTCTCCCCTGCATGTTAAGACCTTGCATCATTAAGGTCAGCTAAATATAAATAAGCATACATAATATGACTATGAAATCCAGTTACACTTGCTTTATGTTCTACTGGTAGATAAATGGGGGTATTGTGCATGTGAGTTTTATTACTTAAAAGAGAAAAGGCATGAATGAGCTGAGTACAGAATTAGATACTACAGCTGTATGCATTACTTGTATATATGTAGAATATAAATCAGAGGCTTAACTGGCCAATTCTGTATCCTGGACAGTAGCACTGCTCAGTACAGGAGCAGCTGACATACATATTCACAGTATATTAATGAACATACAACATGAATCAAATATTTCTCCAGGTTTTGGAAAGGAACTCTTTGAGTCCGATTTAGACAGAATAATGGAACATATAGAGGCTGCAATGGCAATGGTTCCAGTCCTGAAACAAGCAGACATCATTAACACAGTTGCTGGGCCTATCACCTATTCTCCAGACATTCTTCCTATGGTGGGGCCACATCAAGGTGTCCGAAATTACTGGGTAGCTATTGGCTTTGGGTGAGTAAATTAATTTCTCCAGCTTCTGCCTTTCACTTTTTAAGATAAAGCTTGTTAAAATGGCAGTAAACCTGAGCCTTGCTGGCTTAATTTTCTTAAACATACTAAATGCCATTCTTTGATGCAGATGACCTTAATCATTTGCACATCTGCATCCCTCATTTGTAGTCTTACTGGCTCTTTTCTCTTGTCAATCCTTTACTCTTAGATGACAGACTGTTTGTTTTATGGGAAGGGTTCAAACACTCCTAGATTAGCTAAGTACTAGAGTAAGTACAGTGTACTAAGGGACACTAGAGGGCAGGATGCTAAGGAAGAGGTGTACAAGTGATACTAAGTGTAGAAGGCCAAGGTGAGCAGTCCTGTTACAGAGGGTGTTGTTATGTTGTGGTAGTGGGTAGTTGCAGAGGATTTTATGGTACTCAGTGAGGTTATATCAGCATTGCCATTCATTCTTTCCTGCCCATTACGATCATCAAGATCTTGTCTTATTAACATTTTCATTAAACTTGGGTAGTCATCCTGGCCTCCTTAAAGTTCAGTTATCTCACCTGATCATTGATCCTAGATAAATGGAATGAGTTGAATCTAATTCCTGGTAATTGTTACTGGAAGTACTCTGTTTACATTAGCCTTCTAATTGCCTAATAAGTAGTTCAAAATGCAAGAAAGTTTTTTTCCAGTTTTTTTTCATGGTACAAACCTTCACATGTAATGTAGTATCTCATTAAGCTGTTTTCCTAGGTTCCCAAAATAAAAAAAAAGAATGTAATGATTATCTTGCTGTTTGGATTCAAGAGGTTTTGAAGATGTTAATTACACCTGTAGTATTCTTACTGAAAGATTGAACTCTAGGAAGAATGATTTAAAACTTCATTCATGATTTGAAGAATGGGACTGGGTGTACAGTTAACAAATTTACAGATGGCACCATGCTGGGTGGAAATGCAAGCACTTTGAAAGATAAGAATAGGTTCAGAGTGACCTTGACAAACTGGAGGAATGATCTCATATTACCTGGTAACCAAATGAAATTCAGTAAGGACAACTGCAAATTCCTGTACTTAGAGCAGAACAATCATATGTACAAATACAGACTGGGTAACAACTGGCTAGGCTTCAGTACTTCAGAAAAGGACCTGGGGATTGGATTGAATTGCAAACTGATTTTGAAACAATATGCCCCTTAATACAGAAAAAAACAGTAGCACACTAAGTTATATTAACAGAAGTGTCATCTTCAAAGCAAGGGAAGTAATTCTTCCACTCTATTCAGAAGAGGCTTCACCTGAAGTACTGTATCCAGTTTGGGTCACTGCATTTCAAGAAAGACATAGACAAATTAGAGTCCAGTGGAGAACAGCAAAAATTATTAGTGGTATAGAAATATGATTTATAAGAAAAGGTAGGAAAAACTACTATTCTTAGTTTGGAGAAGAGAAGACTGAGGTGGGATTTGATAACGGTCTTCAAATACCTGAAGTGTGAATGTAAAGATGATAGTCATATACTCTTTTTTTTTCTATGGCCGCAGGACTGATGGCAAGGAGCAATAGTCATAAATTGCAGCAAGGAAAATGTAGCTTGGATATAGGAAGTACTTTTAAACTCTAAGCATGGCTAAGCATTAGAACTGTTACCCAGAGAAGTTGTGGAATCTCCATCCTTGGCATTTTCAAGAGCTGTAAGACAAGCTCTTGTCTAGGATGGTTTAGACAGGAATGATTCTGCCTTGACCAGGAGGTTGAACCAGATAGCCTCTTGAGGTCCCTTGCAGTCCTATTTTTCTATGATTTTATGATTCTATGAATACATTAATTGTACTGTTAATCCGTAAGCCTTGTTCTACCTCTCTCAACATAAAATGATAAAACTTCTATTGACTTCAGTGGGAGCAGGATATGGATCCATACTGGACTGGAGAATGACCACTGAAAAGGGCTTTATTCCCATTATAAGTTTACATTTTTTTTAAAAATACCATATTTTTTTAAAAATCTTTCATTATTGAGAAATAAGATTGAATTATGTAATTTATAAGAGTCTCACATTGGACCCCTCTATCTGTTCTTCAGGGTCATTGATGCTCCATTCTCCATTTCTACGTCATGGAAAAAGCAGATTAGTGTTGTAATCTTTTGTGTACACTGTCAGTCTCTATCTCACTGTTAATAAGTCAGGGTATTGTGACTTGGGTCTGAGTAGAGTTATTTGCTTTGCAATTTTTCCCTCTATTATTTGTTTGTCACAAAAACAAGGTAAGTGCTTTAATGTGAAAACAAGTTAATACTGGTAATGATTGTAGGTAAATCTGGTAGTACTATGTATTAAAGCTGTTCAATACTTACCCATTTTCAGCTACTTATAACTTTGAAAAATGTTAGACTCTTGGGCTAAATTTGCTATACAACCATATTCTGATTTCAGTTAAAACAGCGCAGTCATTTCTAAGAACTAGGCTAGGGAAAATGTATTTGGCCCATGTTAAAATTTGTGTTGACCTTTCCTTTGAAAAATTCTTGTGCCTGCAAGTTTGAAGTAGGAACTTAACATTTGTACTAGGGATTTGCCTTTTGCCATCCACCCAAAGTTAGCCAAGCTACAAGCTTTTGAAAACCTGGAGCCTGAATATGCTCAGTGGAGATTTTCTACATCTTTACAACTGAGCCCATGTGCAGATATTCTGCTGTTTTCTCAGTAGAAACAAGAAGTGTACAAACGTTCATGGTCTTTCTCCCAGACCAAAAATAGTAATTCCAGGAGAAAATTAAGTTGCTTCCCACCAGGTGGAAGTCAATCCCAGAAGAATTTCTCCTAGAAGAATGAATGTTTATATACTTTTCCTAGCCTTAACTCCTCATAGGAACTAAATGGAATGGAGTCATGGGGAAAAGCTCCTGGGTCTTCCTGAGACTGTGCCACCCTGGTCTGGAGAAGGTGCAAGAGGCAGCTGTTTCAGTCTTTCCCATAGACAGGGAGGGGAGCCTCCTGTCATACCAGGATCCCCAGAGTGAGAAGCAGGCTAGGGGCATTGCCTAGCTACTCCCCTCCCAAACTAGTTTTGGATGGGAGGAGCAGCTACTGCTGCCTGTCTCTTCCCCAAACCATGCAGTCCCTGGTTTCAGGAAGAGGTCAGGGACTTTGATGGTCCCCTCTGGCTTCTCCTTTACTTGTGTACTACCCAGGTGGGCAGCAGGGGAAGTGATTTAAAAGCTAGTGGAGCTCTAAGTAAGCTAAGGGAGCCTCCCAACGCCCATTTTCCAGCCCCATAGGCTTCCCCTTGCCACCTGTGCTGCCTAGCTAGCGGGACCAGGGGCCAGGCTTGGGGAGGTTCTCTCCAGGGTAGTGTGGCAAAACATCTCCCCACTTCTCACACCAGAGGCCCGGTCACTGGGAGCTGAGTTGAGCACACAGCACCCTGCCTGGTTCTCACACTGGAATTTCTGGTGTGAGAAATGAGCATGGGATTTTGTCCCACTGCTCCAGTCTTCACAAGAAAGTGAACAGCCCACACTTTCCCCAGATCAATTTGGTCTTGTGAAGGCACAAGAAGAAGGGGAAAAAGGGCAGTTGTAGACTGAACATCTGCACTACTCGCTTTCCCAGAGTCGTTTCTAGTGATGGAAATTGTCCACTGCTAGAAATGAATGTTTATGCGTGGTCACTACTTACTAAAGATCCTGTCCATGCTGGGCATGCTGCAGCCTAGAACTGAGCAGAACTCTGCCCAGAGTTGTAGTTCTGGATTACTGCAAGCCACACCTTGTCTGTGCACCCAGACTTAAACAGGGATTCTGCTCCCCCCCATGCACTCTGCTGCTGAAATTTGGGCCATGTAGAAAAAGAAGCTGCCTGATTTGAATGCTGAAGAGACAAAAGATGGACTGAAGAGTAGATAACCTTAGGATGAGGTGGGAGGAAATGGGGCTGGACACCAGTGAGAGGAATTAGAATTGGGAGTTGCAGAAAAATTGGGACTACTTGACCAAAAAGACTAGAGCTAGGAGACTGGGGCTTGGAGTAAATGAGCAAGGAGACTGGGACTGAAGTGAGAAGTTTGGGGTGGAGAATTGGAATGACTAGGTGAGGCAAATGGCACTGAGACAAGGAACCCCAGTGATGGGAAAGAGTCGGGCCTGAATCACACAATCCCTCAGCTGTCAGGAAATATCTGTGGAACTCATTAGCAAAGTGTCTCATTCCTATGTAGTGCTGATCCACAGAATGATGCCTAGCTTTTATATATCCTTATTGTATCCTGTCCCATTACTGAAGGCACCTATCCCATTACTGAAGGAGAGAGGCAGCTAGCTGGCCCCAGCCCCTGGAACAGACTTAAAAGGACAAATGGGATCTTAAAAATGCCGCCCATCCCAGGTGCAGGCAGTGATTGACAAGCTTGTGGCAGAAGTGAAGGGTCAAGTGACTCAGGGCAGGACTTATAAGCCCAGGGCCTGACCCAGAGAGGTCAGTCTGGCTGAAGCAGACACAGGAGGCAGAGCTCCAGGAAAGAGCCAGTCCAGGCTGCTTATAGATGGACCATGTATTCCAGATTGGCTGGGACAGTCCCAGATTTTGGAGGCTGCCTCAGCATTCTGGCTGTTGGAAAAAATTGAAGCAAAAGTCTTGGATTGTAGGAATCTGCCTGCACATCCCCAGCTCCTGGTACATGTGGGTGGGTTCAGGCCAGTCTGGGACTTTTGCTGCAATTTTCTCCAGGGAGCCCAGCCAATGGGTTGCTCTGTGGTCTAGGCTCTTCTGGGCTTGAGCAGAGTCACTTGTCCAGTAGTATGGGGGGAGATGGGGGAGCCATGGGTTCATTGTCCAGTCCTGCTTTTGAGACCTACAGGGTTGGGACTGTGTGTGTGGGGGGGACAGTGGGTGTGTGGCTGTGTGTCAGGGTGGATATGATTTAAATCACTAGTCAGGCAGCCTCAATTTAAACACTGTTTTCTACAAAAAGTGCATTCCTGTTGTTTGCTATAATCTTTACTAATTTTAAAGAAACTAATGTTTCTTTAATCTTTACTAATCTATAGAGGAGCCTCTGGGAAACCCATAAGATTGGGCCCCTAATATAGACTATGGTCTGTTGTGACCTGTTTATAAAACTTTTCTAAAAAGGTTACATGAACATATTATCTTACATAGTATATAATTTGAAGCTCTAATCCATTTTCCATGATGATATCTTTGAGCTTTAACATATCTTAAATTAAAGCTATCTTTGTATAGGTTTGTTTTGTTTTTTTTTAAAAAAAAAAGCATTTTAACAAAAAAAAAAATTACAATTAAATAAAAAAAAATCTTATTTAAATAAAAAAAAATTACCCCTCGCAACCCATTGATTTTTATCCACCCTGGTGGGGGTACACATATGTGTATGTACCATGTTGTCCTTCCTGGCCCCACCCCATGACTCCCCCCATCCTGGATTTCCCTCCAATTATTATTATGGTCACCCTACCTATAGAGGAAAGGCTCTGTGCCACAGGAGGGCTGGAAGAAACCCTGCACCCTGAGCAGCAAAAGGTAAGTGTCTTGAGCCTTTGTTTTAGTACTACCATGGGGTGAGATTAACCCTGATGGGAACATTTTGGTTGGCATTTTGACTGAAGGACTGGATATGGCTGTAAGGGGACAATTGGAGACCACTAAGGTGCTGCAGGGGCACCCAGCACAGAGCACTTCTAGGGCCTGAAGCCCAGCGGCCTGTGTGGAGCAGAAACACAAACATTTTGGAAGCAGAACTGTAGTGTGTCAGAGGACTGAGTACCTGGCAGCAAGGACTAAAGGGATCCAAAACTGGAGCCCACAGAAGGCAAGACCAGGGATTAGGGGGCTCAGAGCCCACAGAGGGTGAGACTGGGGCCAAGGGGCCTGGAGCCTGTAGAGGGTTTGGCTGGAGCTCAGGCCCGGGGCCTGGGGTCCTGATAGAGTGGATCCCAGGGGGATGGACACAGCCAGAGTAAAATGGGTCAAGGCTAGGGTGCCTCAGCCCAGACAAGGGCCTATCACCCCAAGCCCCTTTTGCCCTCCAGGGGCAGCCGCCCTCTGAAATAATATCAAGGCATGGCAGACAAGATAGGGTGGGACTTTGAGGGGCTGCATGGAGTAACAAGGTAGGGGCCAAGTGTCAGCTGGAGGGGGCCTTTACCACCCCAGGTCTAGGGCACATTACACTTACTGCTAGTGTGAGTGAGCCCATAAAATATTAGCCCTAGTGACACAGGCCCGTACAATCGATCTTAAGGGTTCTGTCAGAATCATGCCACATGAATGAATTTGCATTTTTCAGTTTGTTTTAAAAAAACAAGATTCTATGCACAAAACCCACTGTATTACAAAAGCAATATTAATGTTATAAAGTCAAGCACTCCAGAGTTAGGAACTGCAAGAATGAAGGTTAGCTGTGTAAATTTAATGAGCTCCATTGTGCATGTGCATTATGATTACATTATCATATCCTGTTTTTTTCCCACATCACATCTGCTTTATTCTGTGTGCAGAATGTCTGGCACTCAGCAGATAAGCAGCAGTTCAATATTTTGTTCAAATTTCACTGTTCCCTCTCGGACCCTAGGCCTTATTTACTGAATGCTAATCTAATCCTGATTTCATGACAAAATTATTAATTTCTTCCTGGGTTTTTCTTTATTACTCACCTCAGTACTTCACAAATAAGAATGAATTCATTTTTACAACATCCCTGAGATGTGAGAGAGTTTCCCACTGACTTTAGCTGTTGATGTCAGTGCTGAACCCTCCTGTAAATCAGATTCCAGTGTTTCAACTCAGATGCAAAGAAACTGAGGAACATGTGATTGGTGACAGCCTTTAAAAATTTTAGAGTAAGTGACTTGCTTAGCAACATATTAAGACTTGATGGCAGGAATAGTTATAGAATCCATTTGTCCAGGTAGTGTTCAACCCCATCTCACCAAGAGACCATACTTTATCTCCCTGCAATCTCATCCTTTTTTCATCGGGCACCTTTCAGCTTCTGAAACAAATGATGCAGGAATCCCATAGACAAGTTTCCTTTGTAATACCACTCCGGTTCATCCCCTCAGGCAGCCTGTCTTCTGTGCTGCCTTAAAAATTAAGACACAACATACAAGTCAAGATAAAATGTATAGGCCTTATCAAAACAAACCTATTCAGCTTTAGTTAAAGTTTTTTAAAATGTTAAAATATTTCAGAGTATGCCATTTTGATAACAGTTTGAAAGTTGCAGTACTTTATCCTGATTCAGAATGAAACCAGATTCCAAATTTATGGAATTTCCCACAGGACAAAAATTTCACTTTTAAGTGGGTCTAACCATTCTAAAAACAGTAGGGGACAGAGCTTAGGTTACAGGAAAGCCTAATTCTGGCATTTCCTAACTTCTGCATGCTTGACCATACAATATTCTTTTAATGTAGTTTCTGTATAAATTATACTATGTCAGACTGTCCCTTATGAGCTGACCTTTTGCACCACACATGTGCCACAAAGGGATTGGATTTTAGCAGTAAGCAGCCAGCAGACAATTCCTGTAGTGGAAAGGGACTCTCTGCGGGCATACATGTGGCAGAACCAACCGCTTCCTACAAGTGTAGTAGGCATATTAGGAAAGAGAGACAATATAACAAGTAAGGAAGAATTGTTATTTCTTAATTTTGGAGCTATTACAGAGTAGTTTCCTGGTAGTTTCTTATTCCTTTCCATTCATGGTCCCCTGTTTTGAATGGAACTGGGATGCAGGGTAGTATTTAGTTTTGAATGTTCCAACTTTATTGGGAACTGGTCTAGGCTAGAGTATTCTTGCTATTGTTGTCCCCTGAATTTTTTGTTCCTAAATTAACCTGAATTGTTTGCATTCAGGGTTGTGTAGTTGTTAAGAAAAAGTAATCTTGTGTCCAGTACTTCGTTTTCTGAAAATCAGCAGTTTGGGAACTTACTGTAGTGTTTACTGGTGAGTTTTCTTTTTCTCAGGAAAAGGTGATGAAACTTTTATGATATTGTTCTAAACTTTAGGATAGAAGGAAGCTTCCTTTTCCAGGAACTATGATTGCCATCTGTTAGCAATCATACTTACTACCTTTTGAGCATGCGGAAGAGGAAATTTTCTTCAGGAATGCCAGTGGATTTGAATAACCAAACACTGATCTGTAAGGTCCCTTCCAGCCCCTAACATCCATGAAACTGTGAAATAGTTTAACTATAATTTGTAATACTCTATGTGTTAGTAATAGTTATTTTGGATGATTCAGTACCAGAGGATTTTTCTCTTTTAAAGATATGGCATTATCCATGCTGGTGGTATAGGAAAGTATCTCAGTGATTGGATCTTCAATGGGGAGCCTCCTTTTGATCTAATAGAATTGGATCCGAATCGTTACGGAAAATGGACCACCACAGAATATACAGCAATCAAAGCAAGAGAATCTTATGGATTTAACAACATTAGTAAGAAGATAATTTACAAGTATTTTTCATATTTCAAAAAATATAGCTTTGCACCTAGGTAATCTAGATGTGAAATTTATGACTCCTTTTTCATGGTTTACTTTCTTGGTGCATGATGTTTAGCATGTCTCTTGTCTTACTATTTTTCCAGTTGGTTATCCTAAAGAAGAAAGGTTTGCTGGGAGGCCTACAGAGCGAGCCAGTGGGCTTTATGAAGTGCTTAAATCCAAATGTTCAATGGGCTTCCATGCAGGATGGGAGCAGCCACATTGGTTCTACAAACCAGGAGATGAGATTGGATACAAGTCAGTGAAAGATTGCTTTTTTTTTCTTGGTCAGTTGTCCTGAAAGCAAGTTGATTGGGTTAGGATTGATACTTACCACTCAGGTTATCTAGAGAAAGTCTATGAAATAAGTCTTCCTCCATGTTTAAATTGTGTGATTTAATTTTCTTTCCTTTAAATCTGTTTCTAAAGGTGTGCACATTCTCAAGCATGCACATCAAGATACACTGTAACTTTACCAACCAGAGAACCAATAGTGTTTCAGTCACATATCTTCCTTTGCTTGGGACTTGATCTAAAGGGGATTAAATTATCTAACCTTTTCATGGATCAGTTTACTCCCCTAATCTAATCCTGAGTGAGGAAGAGAAATGGGTTCTTCCTCTCTATTCCAGCCTGCATACTTGCTTACAGTGGGGAATATCAGGCAAGTAACCTTGTCTTCCCCTCCACCAGTGGAATAGCAATTTGAACAAAGTTCAGGAAAGAAGTAAGAAGTCCTGGTGGATCAGCAAACTAAAGGCTTTAATAATCAAACCCATAATAAATGATTCAACAAGAAGGCCAGCTGTAGGTTTCCTCATGGTTACAAATTGAAGCATTGTCTTAGAATGAACTCCTGGGTTCAGCAGATTCCCTGCGCTTGAACAAAAGACATACTCACGGTTGTTTTCACCCTTGCAAAGCTTTATTTAAGGAAACTCGCAGAGGCAGGTGATAGAACAGAGCAGAGAGGACGGTCACCTCACATCAGCCTTAGGCAGCAGCCGCTACCCTGCATGGTTCCCCTGGCCCTGGAGTGTCCCAGTCCCGGGGATGTGATAGCCTGCGCTGGGGCTCCGCACAAGTCAGGACTCTTGCCAGAGTGGAGGAACCCATAGCGACCCAAGAATATACAGCTTATATAGTCTGAAGTAAACAATGTTATCTCAAGCTAGGAAAATGGGGATGAGTTGTGATCCAGTGCACCTGGTGTTTACCACATTCCACTGTATCACAATATACTACTATCTAGGTTCATGGCTCGGTCACACTCACAGAGCAGGAGGCTATGTGCTGCTTCACCAGCCTCCTGTGGAATCAGCATGCAAAACTTTTGCTTTTAGCACAGCGTGCAAAACTCTTGCTCTTAGCAAAGCTGTTACTATTACAAGCAGTAAAAACTGTTTCTGTTGTTTTTAATGTTCAGATATTTTCTGCAAATTTAATTTATATATATGTGTGTGTATGTGTGTGTGTGTATATATATGTATATATGTATATATGTGTGTGTGTGTGTGTATATATGTGTATATATATGTATGTGTATATATATGTGTGTGTGTGTATATATATACCGTATTTACCCAAATTCAAGACAACATTGAATTTAAGATGACCCCCCCATAATTATACTAACACACACACACACACACACACACACACAAGCAAATCGCCTGTCAAGATGGAGGGGGGGGTGGCGGGGACAGAGCCCAGCCTCTGGCCCTGCACCCCCTCCCCCCATCCTCATCTGCCTCCCCCATAATTGCTTCAGGCCTGACCCCATTCCCCGCTGGCAGTTCAGGTCTGGGCCTCCTCCCCCACATCATAGTTTCATAGTTTCTAGGGGCGGAAGGGACCTTAGCAGATCATCTAGTCCGACCCCATGCCATGGTGGGAAAGACTACTGGGGTCAAACGAACCCAGCAAGGTGTTCATCTAACCTCATCTTAAAAATCCCCAGGGTAGGAGCCTGCACCACCTCTCTTGGAAGCTGGTTCCAGACCCTAGCCGCCCTGACCGTGAAATAGCGCCTTCTGATGTCTAACCTAAACCTACCCTCTGCCAGTTTGTGACCGTTATTCCTGGTCACTCCTGGTGGTGCTCAGGGGAACAATGACTCCTCCAATGCCTGCTGATCCACCCTGACTAGTTTATAATGGCAGGCCTGACCCTGTTCCCCCTCCCCTCATGCCGGCACTGGCTCCAAGGAGTGTGTGTGGGGGGGGAAGCTTACCCTGCCATCCCCTCCATCCCCTCAGCCAGCACCCTGTGCCACCACTTCCAGGGAGCAGGGCCGGGGGGGGAGCAATGGGTAAGGCTAGCGCTGCTGGGCTCACCCCCCACCCAACTCCATCCCCTCTGTCATGGTCGCGCTCCGTCACCGCCTCTTGTCCAGAACGCTTTTGGAGCACTCTGATTGTTTGCCGAGACAACCAATTAGAGTGCAAATAAAGCGTTACGGACAGACAGTCAGACAGACTAAGGTGTTGTGTGTGTGTGTGTGTGTGTGTGTGTATGTATATATATGTATGTGTGTGTATATGCATATGTGTGTGTGTGTGTGTGTGTGTGTATATATATTTGGGAAATTTATATTTGGGAAATTTATAAATTTATTATCATTTTCCATGTATAGAATCTAATTATTGGAGGGTTGCCTTAAATTCATCCTCTCCTATCACTGCAGTGGGGAAAGCAGTGGCCAGGGAGAGGTGGCTCAGGGAGCAGGTGGCCCCCACCACTTGTACCCCCATTAGCCCATGGTGCCTGTGCCCCTGCCACCTGCCCCCTTTGCAGCTTCTGTTCCTCTCAGCCTCTGCCCTAATCTGCTCCCCACAGTCTCTGCTCCCTCCCCTCCCCTGCTGCTGTGCAACCCAGTTACTGCAGGAATCCAGTCG